AAGGAAAACTGCCAACACATTTTATGAAGCCAGTATTACACTTATCCCAAAACCAGGCAAAGACACCTCCAAAAAGGAGAACTATAGGCCAATCTCCTTAATGAACATTGATGCAAAAATCCTCAACAAAATAATGGCAAACCGAATTCAACAACACATCAAAAAGATTATTCACCACGACCAAGTAGGCTTCATCCCAGGATGCAGGGGTGGTTCAACATACAAAATCAATAAACATAATAAACCACATTAACAGAAGCAAAGACAAAAACCACTTGATCATCTCAATAGATGCAGAAAAAGCCTTTGATAAGATCCAACACCATTTCATGATAAAAGCTCTAAGAAAACTAGGAATAGAAGGAAAGTACCTCAACATTATAAAAGCTATATATGACAAACCTACAGCCAGCATTATACTTAATGGAGAAAAACTGAAACCATTCCCTCTAAAATCAGGAACTAGACAGACAAGGATGCCCACTATCTCCACTCCTATTCAACATAGTACTGGAATTCCTAGCCAGAGCAATTAGGCAAGAAGAAGGAATAAAAGGAATACAAATAGGTAAAGAAACTGTCAAAATATCCCTATTTGTAGACATGATCCTATACCTTAAAGACCCAAAAAACTACTCAGAAGCTTCTAGACATCATCAATAGCTATAGCAAGGTAGCAGGATATAAAATCAACATAGAAAAATCATTAGCATTTCTATACACTAACAATAAGCAAACTGAAAAAGAATGTATGAAAAAATTCCATTTACAATAGCCTCAAAAAATATCAAATCCTAGGTGTAAACCTAACAAAAGATGTGAATGACCTCTACAAGGAAAACTATAAACTTCTCAAGAAAGAGATTGAGGAAGACTATCGAAAGTGGAGAGATCTCCCATGCTCATGGATTGGTAGAATCAACATAGTAAAAATGTCTATACTCCCAAAAGTAATCTACATGTTTAATGCAATTCCCATCAAAATTCCAATGACATTCATTAAAGAGATTGAAAAATCTACGTTAAATTTATATGGAAACACAAGAGGCCACGAATAGCCAAGGCAATACTCAGTCAAAAGAACAATGCTGGAGGTATCACAATACCTGACTTCAAACTATATTACAAAGCAATAACAATAAAAACAGCATGGTACTGGCACAAAAACAGACATGAAGACCAGTGGAACAGAATAGAGGACCCAGATATGAAGCCACACAACTATAACCAACTTGTCTTTGACAAAGGAGCTAAAAATATATCATGGAGAAATAGCAGCCTCTTCAACAAAAACTGCTGGGAAAACTGGTTAGCAGTCTGCAAAAAACTGAAACTAGATCCATGTATATCACCCTATACCAATATTAACTCAAAATGGATCAAGGATCTTAATATCAGACCACAAACTCTAAAGTTGATACAGGAAAGAGTAGGAAATACTCTGGAGTTAGTAGGTATAGGTAAGAACTTTCTCAATGAAACCCCAGCAGCACAGCAACTAAGAGATAGCATATAAATGGGACCTCGTAAAACTAAAAAGCTTCTGTTCACCAAAAGAAATGGTCTCTAAACTGAAGAGAACACCCACAGAGTGGGAGAAAATATTTGCCAGCTACACATCAGACAAAGGACTGATAACCAGAATATATAGGGAACTTAAAAAACTAAATTCTCCCAAAACTAATGAACCAATAAAGAAATGGGCAAGTGAACTAAACAGAATTTTCTCAAAAGAAGAAATTCAAATGGCCAAAAAACACATGAAAAAATGCTCACCATCTCTAGCAATATAGGAAATGCAAATTAAAACCACACTAAGATTCCACCTCACCCCTGTTAGAATAGCCATCATTAGCAACACCACCAACAACAGGTGTTGGCAAGGATGCGGGGAAAAAGGAACCCTCTTACACTGTTGGTGGGAATGTAAACTAGTACAACCACTCTGGAAAAAAATTTGGAGGCTACTTAAAAAGCTAGACATTGATCTACCATTTGATCCAGCAATACCACTCTTGGGGATATACCCAAAAGACTGTGACACAGGTTACTCCAGAGGCACCTGCACACCCATGTTTATTGCGGCACTATTCACAATAGCCAAGTTACGGAAACAGCCAAGATGCCCCACCACTGAAGAATGGATTAAGAAAATGTGGCATCTATACACAATGGAATTTTATGCAGCCATGAAGAAGAACGAAATGTTATCATACACTAGTAAATGGATGGAATTGGAGAACATCATTCTGAGTGAGGTTAGCCTGGCCCAAAAGACCAAAAATCATATGTTCTCCCTCACATGTGGACATTAGATCAAGGGCAAACACAACAATGGGATTGGACTTTGAGCACATGATAAAAGCGAGAGCACACAAGGGAGGGGTGAGGATAGGTATAAGACACCTAAAAAATTAGCTAGCATTTGTTGCCCTTAACGCAGAGAAACTAAAGCAGATACCTTAAAAGCAACTGAGGCCAATAGGAAAAGGGGACCAGGAACTAGAGAAAAGGTGAGATCAAAAAGAATTAACCTAGAAGATAACACACACGCACAGGAAATTAATGTGAGCCAACTCCCTGTATAGCTATCCTTATGTCAACCAGCAAAAACTCTTGTTCCTTCGTATTATTGCTCATACTCTCTTTACAACAAAATTAGAAATAAGGGCAAAATAGTTTCTGCTGGGTATTGAGGGGGTGTGGGGGAGAGGGACAGGGCAGAGTGGGTGGTAAGGGAGGGGGTGGGGGCAGGGGAGAGAAATGACCCAAGCATTGTATGCACATATGAATAATAAAATAAAATAAAATAAAAAAAGAAAATGTGGTATCTATACACAATGGATTTTTATGCAGCCATGAAGAAGAATGAAATGTTATTCCCTGGTAAATGGATGGAATTGGAGAACATCATTCTGAGTGAGGTTAGCCTGGCCCAAAAGACCAAAAATCATATGTTCTCCCTCATATGTGGACATTAGATCAAGGGCAAACACAACAATGGGATTGGACTTTGAGCACATGATAAAAGCGAGAGCACACAAGGGAGGGGTGAGGATAGGTAAGACACCTAAAAAATTAGCTAGCATTTGTTGCCCTTAACGCAGAGAAACTAAAGCAGATACCTTAAAAGCAACAGACGCCAATAGGAAAAGGGGACCAGGAACTAGAGAAAAGGTTAGATCAAAAAGAATTAACCTAGAAGGTAACACATATGCACAGGAAATTAATGAGTCCAATAACTGTACAGGTATCCTTATCTCAACCAGCAAAAACCCTTGTTCCTTCCTATTATTGCTTACACTCTATAACAAAATTAGAAATAAGGGCAAAATAGTTTCTGCTGGGTATTGAGTGGGTGTGGGGGAGAGGGAGGGGGCAGAGTGGGTGGTAAGGGAGGGGGTGGGGAAAGGGGGGAGATATGACCCGCCTTGTATGCACATATGAATAATAAAATAATAAAAAAATTCATCATTACACTTTCATTAGTAACATATTAAGGGTGTATTTTGTTGTATCCTTGCCAAATGTAGGCATTTGCATTTAAAAAAGGAATTCCTAACTAACGAAAAGAAAAATTATTTTGCTACTGGACTCCTATGCCAGAGGTCTGACTCTGGGAGGTCCCAAAAAATCAGGTCTGACCACTCACTTCACAAAAAGCAAACAAAAGTAATGGTAGAAAGACAGGACACAATTTTAATCAATCATGTTGGGAAGATGGAGCATCTCAGTTCAAACTATGGTCTGGTTGATCCTTATCTCAGAATTGGTCACGTGGTGCCCTGTCATCCTAAGAAAAGTCATTGCTGCATGGGAGTCAGGGGTGTTATCACACACGTTTATCCATCAGACCTTTTCTTGAAATCCAAGGTGACTACAGAAGAGATCCACTCAGAGCAAAGTAGACAAGCAAAATGGAGGCAGAGATTCTAAATTCTTAACCTGACCCATAGGACATTTGCAAGACCAAGTGGAGTCACATTTTAGCAAAAGCAGCCTTTAAGTCCTTGTTACAATTTTAATTTGTATTTGTACGTAGAACAGTTAAAGATATGTTTATTGAACTTTTTTAATTCAAGAATTCTATTTGATCTATGCACATTTTCGTTTTGTCAATTTGTCTATGAAGTTTTATATATGGATATTTTCATGTCAGTTTTTTTACTGTATTTCATCTTGTGTATTTTACAATATACATTATTGTAAATAACTCGATTATTTCTATACAATTAATAAAGTTGAACTTTTCTCTTCAACTCCATCTTTTATTTTTATGCTTGAAATGTCTTCTTGGGCTGCATATATTCATCACGTTTTCTTCTAGCTCTTTTCATCTATCTATCTATCTCTAAATAGATCTATAGTATCAGGCCATCACCAATTTCACGCCTGGAAAATTTTTTATGTGGACATAAATAAAACTTCGGATTCTTAATGTTTTCACTGTAATTGGCTACTGCTGTCAACTTTATTATGTCACTCATTTTCCTAGCGTTTTTTCAGGTAATAACCTATCTGAAAAGTACTTTGACTTTAGTATTTTTTTAATAACTCAGATATCACATTACTTTTTTATTTCATTGAGAACTTCCAAGACAATATCGGGTGGGGAAACGGTGGTAATGGCTCCTATCCTTTTCTTATTTATCATTATTCCTTGGAGCACAATCACTGTATTTTGACATAGAACTTATCACTTGCTGAAGAGATGAAATCTACAACTTTCCAGTGAATTAAATATCTTTAATTCTCACAATTAGAAAACAAACATTACTGTCCCCGTTCCACCAATAGAAAAGTTGACACCAACAAGTCTTTGGGCTTAAGGAAAAAAAAAAAAAAAAGGATCCTTTTTCTAATTGCAAAACCTTTTTTCTATGACACGCATGGTGGCGACTCGGATTCTAGAGGAGAGCTTGCTCTAGCACGGCTGGTCTGTTCGCTCTCCCTGTCACATCTGGAGTATCAACACTGGCAGGCAGTCACCTGGTGGCGAGGACAGCTGCTTCTCCGCCGCCCGAGGCCTTAGAGGCTACCGGGTTCAACCGCGTGCGGGCGGGGATTCAACGCTCCTCTGACGGCGCGGCTGGCGGACGTCACCGGCAGGACGCCCCAAAGCCGGGGTTCTCCGCAGCCGGCCCCCTCGGACTACCCGCCCCCTGCAGGACCGCGGGCGGTGACCCGGCGCGGGCGGGCGTGCTGGGCGCGGGCTCGGCCGCTGTTCCCCAGACGCCGCCGAGAGACCCGGGCCGTGCCGCCATCATGGCGCGGGTGCTGATCGTGGGCGCCGGTCTGACCGGAAGCTTGTGCGCCGCGCTGCTAAAGAAGGAGATATCCGGTCCCCTGTATGTCACCGTGTGGGACAAGGCTGGGGACGCAGGTGGGTATGTCCAATGGCCAAAACCTGGGGAGGAAAAAGGCTGTTACCGCGCCTGCGTCCAAGATGGCGTCAGCACGCTGCGTCAGAGCAGGCTCGGGTCCGCGGCTCAGCGCGCAGCCGTTGCGGCTCAGCGCGCAGCCGTTGCGGCTCAGGCGCACTACGCGCCTCGTCACGTGACCCGGGACTGTGGCGCCCGGAAGAGGCGGAGATTTTGGGGGGGTGGGCAGTGACCCTCTCTGGGATGGCGGGCAGCAGGATCGGGGCCTGGGCCCAAGCGGAGTTAGAAAAGTATGGGCTGGGAAGGCATGGGCCTTGCCTGTTCCTAATAAATGCATGTTTGCCTTCACCCGTAAGAGTCATTGCAGGTTTCTCCAAATTCTCGGATCTAACGTGCTCATGCATAAGACCTGCCCCAGATGCAGTTTACAGTGTTCTGTCATTCTTATGCATCCTGACTGCCTGCAAGAGCCTTCTGGATTCAGTCATTCTAGCATTTCATCATTTCGCTTCATTTATGCATTTGTTCAAGTCAATGTATGCACTAGTAACAATGCAAGACACTGGTACATTACTCATAAGTCTTATCCCCTCTTTTTTCATTTATTTTTAACTCACAGTTATCAAATTAAAGCAAATATTAGCGACAGGGATGGACCCAGCTTTACCAATTCTAATGGTTCCTTCTCCCGCGCGATCAGTGCCTGTTAACTACCTAATGACAATGCTAGACGACAAAGACTTCAGTTTACAATGTTTGTTAAAAAAAAAAAAGTCCATTGGGATAACCCCAGATGAGCTGGCTTCTAAAAGACTCATTCTAATGCACTGATACTTAACTATGACTTAATTAAAGGAGGAAGAATGACAACGACAAGCAGTCCTCACAATCCCCAGTGCACAGCTGATATGGGTGCTCAGTATATCACCTGCACTCCTCATTATGCCAAAAAACACCAAACGTAAGTTAGTCACCACGGGTGTTCAAAAGAACACAAATCATACATTTTAAACACATCTTTAAAACTTTGCCTCTTGTGTAACATAGTGAAATTATTATGATGTCAGTGTTGATCATCTTAATTGTAAAAGGTTAATCTGAGTAAACTAGGAAACTGAAATCCATACATAGGGTTGTTGTGAAGATTAGATGAGATGATATATGGAAGAAATAAAGGACTCCATAAATACTAGTGTTGAAGAAGAGGACAGATACCCACAATGGAAGACAATGTTCTTAACCAAATTTAAAATCTGTGCACAAAGTTCTTTTCTACATGTTTTCCTTGTCTTTAGTTTTGAATTATATGGAGAAATGGGCCTTTGGCTAATGTCAGGAAGAAAAAAAATTTGAGTTCTCAAAATGTTTCTGTTCTTCAATTGAACTACAAATTTTGCTTAACACAAAGTATACACTGAGTTGATCATATGAAGGTTTCTAGTTATGATGTGGAATTATAATCTCTAAGAGTTCTTAGAAGAGTATAGTATTGTAGATCTATGTGTGTGTGTTGATTTATTTCAGTTTCTATGATGAACTGTTAGCTCATGGGATTCTGAAGCCTCTTACCTGGCCTATTGAAGGAATGAATATGAAAGAAGGAGACTGCAACTTTGTGGCCCCTCAAGGAGTTTCTTCAATTATTAAGCATTACTTGAGACAATCAGGTGGGATTTTAATTTTCTCTCCCTTTTTAAAAAATTAGCATTTTTAAATTAAGTTATACATAATTAAATGTTAATACCACATAATAAAATTATAAAAAGTTGATATCTTCCTACTTACCACTTAATAGCTAGTCTTTCTTCCTCCATAGTAAACACTGATAACAGTTTCCAGTATATACTTCCAACAGAATGTTTAATTTTCTATCTATTTAGCTGTGTGGCTGTCTCTGTTTACTTTTAATATGTTTATATTTATTTCTTTAAAAATATATACAGAGGGGATTATTTGACACAGAGTGTCCTATAATTTGTTTGCTTCATATCTTGAGTCTGCTTTTATGTTAGCAAATTCAGTGTGCTTTGTTCTCCTTAATTGCTGTCCAGTATTATATGGTGTATGGATATCATTGTTTATTTAGCTATTAACTTTCTGGTAAATATTTAGAGTATTTTTTTTATATCTAAACATTGTTTCATGTCTAACCTTGGCATGCTTTTGTGAGCACATCTGTAGTATTAAATCCTAACAGAATAGTTATGTCAAGCAATAAGTATATTTTTTCATTTAAATGGGTTGTGTTACATATTACCCTTAAAGAATAACTCTTCAATAGTAAATAGTAATGTGTCCTTACATCTGGATATTATGGAAGATTTTAGTTTTTGTCTGTGTCATAGGTTAAAAATGGTATCTTTATAGTTTTGACTTATATTTCCTAAGCTATGAATGAGTTTATGCATCTTTTTTATACACCTCTTTTCATTTTTTCTTTGAATGTTTCATTCATAATCTTTGCCCATATTCTGTTAAGATTTTCATTTGTCCCTTATAGATTTTATGAATATTTTTTAAAAAATTGAACTTTTCTTGGATTGATAAGTGATATTAAAAAAAAAAAAAAACAGAATAAGTCCTTCATGAGCTGGCAGAATGGCTCAAGTGGTAGAAGTGCTTGCCTAGCAAAGGTATAAGACCTGAATTCAAACTCCGTACCGAAAAAAAAAATTCCAAGAACAAGGCCTCTGTAAAAATCATAATGACATAAGCTGTTTCGAGAATATTATAATTTTGGTTTCTTATTAAACATTACCTACTGAGCACAGTAAAGATCCCTGATACTGTGCAGAGAGGTCAGTGAGTTTGAATACACAAATGTTTCATTCATAATCTTTGCCCATATTCTGTTAAGATTTTCATTTGTCCCTTATAGATTTTATGAATATTTTTTAAAAAATTGAACTTTTCTTGGATGATAAGTGATTTAAAAAAAAAAAAAACAGAATAAGTCTTCATGAGCTGGCAGAATGGCTCAAGTGGTAGAGTGCTTGCCTAGCAAGTATAAAGACCTGAATTCAAACTCCAGTACCAAAAAAAAAAATTCCAAGAACAAGGCCTCTTGAAAAATCATAATGCACATAAGCTGTTTCGAGAATAATTACTATTTTGGTCTTCCTTATTAAACATTACCTACTGAGCACAGTAAGAATCCCTGATACTAGGCAGAGAGGTCAGTGAGTTTGAATACACAACATAAGCACATAAAAAATACTATTCTGAGTTGGGCCATTTGTACATCCAAGATTCAGTCTATGAGGTCTCTCAATCAAAGTTCTCCACAGAAAAAGAACCAGTAGAATATACTGCTGGTCCTCCCTATCCACACATTCTGTGGATTCAATTAACTGCAGATCAACAGCACTTGAAAAAAAATCTATAAAGTTCCTAAAAGCAAAATTTGAATTTGCTGCATGCCAAATCCTGTGCTGCTGCACCCATGAGAATAAAGTGACGTATAGGCATACCTTGTTGTAGCTTTCTACCCTTTCACAGAGCCTTAGGCTCTCTCTAGCACTCTGAGCATTGTTTACCTTGTATCTCATCCATGTACTATGTAGTTAGATCTCTGGTGGTTGCATCTGTAGTAAACATGTGAAGTACATGTACATCTTTTTCTTGCCATTATTTCCTCAACAATACAGTATAACAACTTTTTTTTGTGGTACTGGGTTTTGAACTAAGGGCCTATGCCTTGAGCCACTCTACTAGCTCTTTTTTGTGAAGGGTTTTTTCAAGATAGGGTCTTGGGAACTATTTGCCGAGGCTGGCTTCGAACTGCAATCCTCCTGATCTCTGCCTCCTGAGTAACTAGGATTTATAGGCATGAGCCACCTGTGCCCAGTCACAACTTTTTACATAACATTTACACTGTATTAAGTAGTATAAGTAATCTAGAGATAGTTAAAGTACATAAGAGAATGTACATAAGTTATATGCAAGTACTATGTCATTTTATACAAGGGACTTGAGCATCCCTTTGGGGGCAGGTGTCCTAGAATAATTCTCCTTTTATTGAGGGAGGGTGAAACTTTTTCTCTTATTTTGCCCTTCAAATGATTAGATGAAGGTCACTTGCATCAAGAAGGGCAATCTGTTTTACTCAGATTTAAATTTGACATTGTCTCAAAAATTCTTTGGTAAAAGTACTCAGGATAACGTTTATCCACGTATTTGGCACTGCGTGGCCCAGTCAGGTTGACACATAAAGTTAGCCGTCACAGACAGTGACATCATTGAACATTTGGTGGAATGTTACTATCAGCTGTGCATAATGCCATGCCACCGTATCACTTTTTTTTTTAATTTTTCTTTTATTATTCATATGTGCATACAAGGCTTGGTTCATTTCTCCCCCCTGCCCCCACCCCCTCCCTTACCACCCACTCCGCTCCCTCCCTCTCCCCCCCACTCAATACCCAGCAGAAACTATTTTGCCCTTATTTCTAATTTTGTTGTAGAGAGAGTATAAGCAATAATAGGAAGGAACAAGGGTTTTTGCTGGTTGAGATAAGGATAGCTATACAGGGCATTGACTCACATTGATTTCCTGTGCGTGGGTATTACCTTCTAGGTTAATTCTTCTTTTTTTTTTTGATCTAACCTTTTCTCTAGTACCTGTTCCCCTTTTCCTATTGGCCTCAGTTGCTTTAAGGTATCTGCTTTAGTTTCTCTGCGTTAAGGGCAACAAATGCTAGAAAATCTCTTTTCTATCTTGGTTTTTCACTTCACCCAAGTTAAATTTGTATACTATCCAAAATCCTCAAGTACTTACTAACTCTATTTTATATCTATGCATACATACATACTTATGTACATATATCCAGTGATTCAATAAGCATTTATTGAGTATTTACTATACACAGACATGTTTTAGGTACCAATGATACAAAAACCAAAGTCTCGCCCTTATAGAAATGATTTTCTGGCAGAAGAATATTCCTTGAATACTTTGTATCTACTTCCTTATTTTGTTAGGTTTAGGGGGAATGTATATGTTTTATCTTCCGCTTTTGCTTTAGAAACTCTTGGGAGAAGATATCATATTTCATTCTTTGTAGCTCACATACAAACTAGCAGAACTTTGTAAATGATAGATATAGTGATATTGATTTTAATATATAAATAGTTTACATAAATAGCTTATATATATGATATGACTATCAATCAAATTTAACCCCATTCTTAGTAAAAACCCATTTATTTTTTAAATTTGTACAGCTTCTTGGTATAGTGAGTTCTTTATATTTTCTTGCAATTATGTAAGGTTGCCATTATGTATTTCAAAAAGTAACTTTTTTGGCAGTCCTGGGAGTTAAACTCAGAGTTTCATACTTGTTAGTTAAGCATTCTGCCACATGAGCCATTCACCCAGCCCTTTTTGCTCTAGTTGTTTTTTGAATAGGGCCTTGAATTTTTCCCCAGACTAGCCAGGACCACAGTCCTCCTATTTATATCTCCTGCATGTAGCTTGGATGGCAGATGTGTGCCACCACACTGAGTTTTGTTGACTGAGGTGGAATCTTGCTACCTTCCCGCCCCTCCCCAGGCTGTCCTCAAACTGTGATCCTCCTGATTTCTGCCTCCCAAGTAGTTGGAATCACAGGCATGAGCCACCAGGCCCTGCCTGAAGTATAACTTTTTAATAGAAGAATTGTGTATTCCTGGTAGATAGTTTGGCAAACAGAAAAATAGCAAGAAAAATGTCATTATGATATATAACCAGCAAGAAGTCCATTTGTTTTGACACATGGTCTTAGTATGTAAGTCAGATTGGCCTAGAACTTGGGATCTTCCTGCTTTAACTTCCCAAGTGCTGGTGTTACAGACATGTAAATAAGTCCATTTTATGACGTTTTTTTCTGCTTTTTTAAATGAATTTTTATGTAATTGAGTTCATATTTGAGTATTTGTAAACTTTTCCTTTGAATATTCCAAGGCTCTTTCATCAGTGTTTCAACTCTGTTTTTCCTCTATCCAGATACATACACATTCATTAATCCCTTTTAAAACTTTCTGTCCTTTAAATAGTTCAAAAAACATTTTAGTTTTTCTACATTCTTTAGTATCAGAATAACCAGTATTCACGTTTATGTCCTACCATCCTTTCTTCAGCCATGTAATATTTCTTGGTAAACATTAGTTTAAAAAATAGTCTGTTTAAATGAGGGTGACTTTCATATGTTTCCAGTCCAAATTGCTATGTTATTCTAAAAATATTGTACATGTTGGAATCTTGTTGAGTTTACAGGTTCACAATGTAATGGACTGACTAATCAGTGGTTATTCAGATTGAGACCAGACTTCCAGAAAAATAATCCATACAGGATGTGTCCAGTCAATGTGCTTTAAACAAACTTCTAATGATGGTATTCACTAGACCAGTTTCCCACAACAAATATTAAAGGGTAGAGAGAAATAGGCACTAGTCTTTTGACCTCCTATTCTGTGTTTACTTGCTGTGTGATATGTTCACATTAACCTCTTTACAGAGAAAACTGTATTTATTTGTTTTCTCCATTAATACAATCTTCTTGAGTGAGTGAAACCTGATTTTCTATTGTTATGGTTTTTTAGTCATCAGTGTTGCTAGAGTAGGAAAATTCAAAGTAACAAAATCAACCCAGGCTATCATTTAATTAAGTGCTATTTATCTGACACTACCTTAGGTACTGTCTACATATATTGTTTCTAATTCTCCCAATAACCTTTCAAAATAGTTGTCATTATTTCTACTTACTAAAGAGGAAAATGAGACTCAGAGAAATTAAGTACTTTGCCTAGGCTGACACGGTTAATAAGTAACAAAGCTAGAGCTCCCTTGAAACTGATCCAGTTGGTTTTCCTATTAAATTTTCCATGGAGAGCAATGAGAGGCGCTCATACTCTCCAATTTAAACATTTGTTTTGTAGGGCCTTTTCTTTTCTTCTTGATTTTTTTTCTACAGTATGAGAGATTGTCCTCATCCTATCTGGTGCTACATGTTGGTAGACACATGGCTCAAAAAAACAGCTTCATAGTGCCCTTTTCCCAGGGTTCCCCTTTTTCATCATTTAGTCCTTGATCCAAGAGAAGGGGCTATAAAGGATAATCCCATTTTATTTCTTTTTACACCCTCGGAGATTGGTCACCCAGTTCTGCCTGTGACATTTGGCAAGTGATAGATCAAGTCCTTTTGCTTTTAAATAATGTCTTATGTTCTTATATAATTCATAAGAAGATGAATTTAGCCTCAGGGAGATGCTTTTATTTGGGTTGGCTTACCAATAGGAGGGACTAATGCTGCATCTGTTTGTTTTTATCATCTACCTTCCAAAGGATATTGTCTAATAATCTGGAAAGTCAACATATGCAATATATATAGTTGCAAGTCAACCTATACTATGTAAGTTGACAGGTTTTCTTAGAAAATGTGGTTTAATTTGCAGATGCTATCAGATAGGGTAGCTCTTGTCTGGTAATGTTACCTTTTATCATTTTCTTCCTTTTTACTTTTGTATTTATTTTCTTTCTAAAATTGATTCCATATAGACTTGTAAATTTTTAAATTTTTGTTACATATCATTCTGGGGAAACAGTAGGGTAAATAAGAAACATGGTTCCTACCTTTGTTAATGTAGAGTGAAATGAGTTGAGGGGCGGGGAAGGGGTAATTAAACTATCCATGTAATAATTGGTGTATTTTGAAAGAAGAGGCATTAGAAAAGAGCATATAGTAGAAGTTTCAGAGGACTGAGGGGGATATGTGCATCTCTGAGGAACTGACATTTTCAAGGGGAGGAACTGACATTTTCAAGGGTACCTGAAAAGTGAACAAGAGCAAACTGGACCAAAAGCTGAGGGATAAGACTTCCATGCAGTAGACACATCAATTAGAAACTGTACTGAAGTGGGAAGTAAATGCATTAAAAGAATTAAAGAGTCATTATGCCTGGACAGTAGCAAATGAATGAGAAGGTGGGAAGAGGCGAAGTGCAAAACTAAGGCAGGGCCTGATGTAAGAGGCTTTGCAAACAATGTTAAAAAAAATTTTACACTAATTTACCTGCACCTGAAAGCCATTGAAGGGTTTTATGCCAGAAGTTTAAGTGTGGTCAAATTTACTAAACTCAGAAGTGCCTCCTGAAAGAATTTATGCTAAGAAGAAAGTGTGACAAGAGGGCACTCAATGTTTCTCTTAGTTCTGATTCTTTGTTTTTCAGTTTTAATTTTTAAAATTACTTTTATTAACATATATTAGTGAATTAATTCATTGTGATAGTTTCACACATTCATGTAATGTACTTCGATCAAAATCACTCTCCTATTACTCTTTCTTATCACTCTACTTCCCTTTTTACAATACTTTTAATGGGTTTTATTATCCTGTTTTCATACACATGTATAAAGTACTTCAAGCTTATTCATCCCCTTCACTATCTCCTTTTACCCACCTCTCTCCCACTAGTTCTTACCCCCAAACAGTCCCCTGTTTTATACTCATGTCATTCTCTTTTTTTTTATGTCTAGACTGTGCATATGAGAAAGAACATAGTATCTTTCTCAGGCTGCTGTATTTATTTAACATGATAATTTCCAGTTCCATCCATTTTTCTACAAATGACATAATTTCATTCTCCTTTATGGCTGAATAATATTCCATTGTGTGTATATACCACATTTTCTTTATCCATGCATCAGTTGGTGGTCACCTAAGTTAACTCCATAGCTCAGCTATTGTAAGTAGTGCTGCTTTGAACATGGGTGTGTAGTTATCTCAATTGTATTCTGACGTACATTCCTTTGGATGTATGCCAAAGAGTGAGAGTAGAGAGCAGGGTCATATGGTAGTTCTGTTTTTAGTTTTGTGAGGAAACTTGATTTCCATAGAGACTACACTAATTTATATTTCCCACAACAATGTGTAAGGGTAAGATTCCTTTCCCACCCCCAGCCATCTTCACCAGTATTTGTTATTGTTTGTTTTCTTAATGATAGCTGTTCTGAGTAGGGTGAGATGGAATCTCAGTGTAGCTTTGATTTGCATTTACTTTATGGATAAGGATGTTGAATGTTTATTCATTTGTATTTTTTCTTTTGAGAACTGTCAAATTTACTTGCCCATTAATTGGATTGTTTGTTCTTTTGGTATTTAATATTTTGAGCTCTTTATATATTCTAGATATTAATCCTTTTTCCAGTGAATAGCTGGCCAAGATTTTCTCCAGTTCTGTGTGTTGTCTCTTCATTCTGGTAATTGTTTCCTTTGTTGTACAGAAACTTTTTAATTTTATGCACTCCTATTTGTCAGTTCTTGCTCTTATTTCCTGCACATCTGGGGTTCTATTTAGAAAGGTGACTGGTGTGGTGATTCAAGCAACCTGCCTAGCAAGCATGAGGCCCTGAGCTCAAACACCTTTGCCACCAAAAAAAAAAAAAAAAAAAACAAAAGGACCGGAGGTCTGCCTCAAGCAGTAGAGCACTGGCTTTGTAAGAACAAAGCCCTGAGTTCTAAACCTCAGTCCCACCAAAAAAAGCTGCCTAGAAAAGTATTACCTATGCCTATATCTTCAAGGGTTTTCCCTATGTTTTCCTGCAACAGTTTCAGAGTTTCAGGTTTTACATTTAGATTTTTGATCCATTTTGAATTAATTTTTGTAGAAGGCAGGAGATAGGTGTGTAGTTTCAGTCTTCTATATGTGGATATCCAGTTTTCCCAACATCATTTCTTGAAGAGACTGTCTTCTCTCCACATATATTTTTTTTTGACACCTTTGTCAAAGACCAGAAGAACCTACTGATGAGGAATTGCATTCTCCCACAGATGCCTTGGTAGGTTCCTTTAATTGAGAAATTAATTCCTTTAATAGGGAATATTGCTTTTGTTGTTATTACTAGAAAAAAATTAATTGCTAAGACCTTTCCTGAAATGTACATATACTTGCTCTGCAAGCATGACAAGCTTTAGAGTCATCTGTATGTAGTTCTAAATCATGGCATGACATTTCTCAATCTGTGAAATATATCTGTGAAATAAATTGGTATAATGTTTGTCAATTACTTGGCATGTAATATTTGATTAATGAAAGATAACTGTGGTTATTATTATTAATTGTAGTAGCAATGTTTTTCCAGAGCAGATATTAATATAGCAAGATTCAAGGGTGCTGGTGGGTGGGCAGTGGTAGGAATTACCACTAAATTAGAAAGAAAGTAAAGAAAAAGAGCCCTGGGGACTGTAGAAAACAAACTTGAATACTTTGTCAGCCAAATGGCTCCAGTTTGTGACTATTTACTTTTCCCTTGTTCATATGGAAGATTCTGATAATGTGGTCATGATTTTGCTTTTGGAGCAGGTGCAGAAGTCTACTTCAGACAGTGTGTGACCCAGATCAACCTGAAGAATGACAAATGGGAAGTCTTCAAGGAAACAGGCTTCTCTGAGCAGTTCGATCTTGTTGTCCTCACCATGCCAGTTCCTCAGATTTTGCAGCTTCAGGGTGACATCGTGAACTGTGAGTTTCCCTTGCTGTTCCCCTGCTCAGACAATGGTATTTCTTTAATAATGTGAATTGACTCTTAGTGAAGAATATAACATAGATTGTATTGATTTTATGTCTTAAAAACTGCTTTAGTCCCCTTTCAGATATTAGTCTAGGTGAAACTAAATACTGTACAATTTTTTTGACCAGTTAAAGTTGAACATTTTTCTTACTACCCCTGCCTTCAGGAAGTCAATATTGTTCATGTGCAGTGGTGTGACCTAAATGAACAATGTCTTTAGGACTAACCCAGAAAAAAAAAAAAAAGAAGGTTTTTATGACACCAGTTCTTACTTGGGTTACCTAGTTTCCTATATTTTTGTTCTCTGGGTTGCCCTCTGTGTTTGAGGAAATTATCTAGCACCATTGTGAAAAAGAGGTGCAAAAGAAGGGTGAGGGTCAATAGGTGAGGAGGAGGAGGAAATTATACTGAAGAAGTTAGAAGTATGCTAAAAGAACCAAATTAATAATAAAGGAACTAAAATTGAAAAGAAATTTTTTGTCTGATAATAAAAGAAAAAAGTATTTTCTGTGAAAATAACAAAGGTAAATTTTAAGGAGGAATATGATGGGCTGTTGATAATCAGAATATCATTTTATTTAGCAAATCTAATAATACAAAATCAGTTTTCATATGGAGAGAAACTATTAAACCATTATAGAGATTTTTTTTAAGAAAGCTAAATTTTTGTTTGTTAATCTGAGAAATCTGATTTATGTATCTGAGAGCCAACTTTCATTTTATCAACTTGGGAAATGGCAAATGGGACATCTCCAAAGAAGCAGGTTCCCCCAAGGGATTTGATCTTGTCCTCAGGGTGCCAGTTCTTCATGTTTCCTAGGGAGTACTGACTTCAGGGTTCAAATTTCATTGCACTGAAGCAGTATAAAGGATTGTACAAAAATTCTTTGCTCCTGAAGGAAGCTAGAAGGTGTGCAGAAGGTGGATAAGGCAACTAGGGTGAAATGACTGTCACTAAGTACAGTGATTTATGTCATCTAAGTCTGAGTCTGTGGTCTACCTCAGTTCCAATCCAATACAGAAAAAAACCTGATATAAGTCTTCTAGTTTTTAATAAGGTGGTATTTGATGATTTAGCACTCTCAAGTTTCAGATATCTGTTCACTTGAAGCTGGTGAAATTATCATTATGTATGACGATGGTAACAACTTGATTTTACAATCAAATTTTGTGTTGCCATCAATAGTTGCTGTTAATTTTTGGTACTTATTCCTAACTACCAACTGAGGAACATTATTGAGTCAGAGGGTTATTATTAAGTACATTTGATGTTCTGATTAGAATTTGCAAATTAAGGTAGGGTATTTTTAAAAGTTGCCTTCCAGTCATGCACTATGTATTTATAGACTTCTTATGTTTCATATGTGTTTTGATTTGGAAATATTTTAAAACGGGATATTTTTATTTGACAGTGTTGTATTTAGTGACTATCTAACAGAAAACAATATTTAAAGAGTGACTGTTACTATGTTGATATACACAAAAATGTGATTTTGTAGGTAAAAGATGGTCATAATGTTGTAGTTTCATGTGAGCCAACCAAAACACTACATATATGCAGAGAGAATACAAAAAATAAGGACTAAAGCCAGGAATTAGTCATATAGATTGGACGTTGTTTTAGGATCGCAAAGACTACTTTTTAGAAGGGAATGGTTGTATATCCCTATAATCCCAGAGCACTGAAGGCACAGTCAGGACAATAGAGAATTTGAGGGAAGCCAGGACTATATATAAATAAATAACTGCTTTGATATGTACTTCTCATTTGATATGTTATTTCTAATTGCATTTCTATTTCAAAATTTTCATGAAGTATTGAGAAGTGTTTAATATTTTAATCTTTCATTTTTAACTTTTGAATTGGTGTTTTATCCTTTCAGTCTTTAAATGTCGCAATTGGTTTAGCAATATTCACTTTATCTTTAGATAGTAACCTTCGTTTAATTTCTTTTTAAATATAAAATGTGTCATGGTAACAGTATGGTGGGTGGGCCTGATTCTCCATCTTTTCCCAAAATAAATTCTAATCTACAAATAGCCAATTTAGAGATGTCCTTTACATACAAATATCTTTCTGAGTTGACAACTGCCATCCATCTTTCCAGGGTGCTGTGGGGATTGGATACCTAAGAGTTTCTCTACCATTCCTGGGGTTCTCTGGTACACTGTCACCAGAAATTTCTAAGTCCCCAAATATCCCTTTCCTGCCACTGTGACTCACATCAGGTGAGATGGTGGCACACCTCTGCCACCAATAAAAGTTTGCACTTTTACTGCCAGAGATGCTGGTCATAGGGAGAAGAAGAGAATGTGCCTGCACTCAAAATTAAAATGGTAGTGGACATGTCAACAGTGGGAGTCCTTGGGTGGATTGTAGGTTGACTATGGGATCCAAAAGTAAGTAGGATAATTTCTGCCAGAGGCATGTGTGAGGCATCTGAAAGCTAAAGTCCTGAACTAAATGCTGATAAGGTATTCGAATATGAGAAACAATAGGAACAGAGAAACAAAGTCAGGTAGGGGGTGCATTTCTCCAAGTAAGTGCACCTGGTCAGTTAGCTTTTGTTTTATCAGGCCAGTTTCCTGTACTGATACTGAAATCTAACTGACAATGTTCATTTTCATCTTAGAAAACTCAGAATTAGAGGGGCCTTTACTGAGCATCTAGTGTTATCTTTTAACTCTTGTATAAATCTTTTTATAAAAAATCAATTTATTGAGGTATGATTAGCATATAAGAATGTGCATATTTAGTGTATACCACTGGATATGTTTGGAACTAAGTATACATCTGTGAAAACTTTTTGAACAACCTGTACCATAAACATACCCATCACTTCCAAGATTTTCTTCCCCTTCTCTTTATTATTTTTTGTGATAAGAACATTTAACATAAGATCCACTGTCTTAGCAAGGTGTTTGTTTGTTTTTTACTTTTATGTGTGTATGTGGTGGTACTGGGATTTTAACTCAGTGCTTTGTCACTTGAGCCAGGCCTCTAGCCCACAAGTTTTTAAGTATACATACAATTTTATTAACAGTACATATTACATTGTGTATTATTACTCCAGAATTTATTTAATGCAACTAAAACTTAACCCCTTAAGGAGTGAAAAGGGAGTTTTCTAGTCCTTGTAACAAGATCTGTGGAAAAAGTCTGTTTTCTCTTTCTCAATTTCAGTAGTGACCTTCATATGAGGAGTTAGTTGATGTCTATCCTTTCATCTGTGTTTTTTGTAGAACTTTGAATACTTTCTCATTTATTAGACATCTTCCCTGCTTTTTAATCAAAGGAGGTAGATTTACAAAGTCCTGTATTGTCATCTAGTGGTTAAAATATATATTGTAATCCCCTAGAATCTAGACTCCAAAGGACTGTGGTTGTGGATACAACCACGAAGAGGATAACACCATGACTATAATTTACAAAACCACATATCACAAAGAAATAAATTTGGGCCCATGAAAATTAATTAACTTACCCAAAGTGCATAGTTAATTAGTGACTCAATAAGGATATACTACAAGCCACATGCTTGTACAGACTATGAACAGCCTGGTCTTTGGTTTTCTGTGTTTTACTTCTCATTCTCTGTTTTCTCTTTTTTGAATCACATATAGCCTTTCAAGTCAACATAACTACTAAATCTTACATGAAAAATCCCCCTTTGGTTATAGTTTGGTCTGGGTTATCTGTTATTTATTTATTTTTATTCACTTTTTATGGATGGGACAGAACTACTTTCCTTTTTGTGATAAGTATTTATTACATTACTAAATTCTCCCAGGTAGAAAATAGGGACACTCTATGCACCATATAATAAGCTTTTATGACTCACCTTCTGGTTCTATAATTGTGTTACTTTCTCCATATTAATATCACAAAGATTATCTCACTTAATCCCCCAGGCAACACTAGGCAATAGTATCATCTCCATTCTTGCTGGTGAAACTGAGATGTGAACCTCAGCAGCATGGCTTCAAAACCAGCCCTCAGCCACTATTTCAAATCCTGCAGCATGTACTTGATCTAATTTAGACTGTCCTGTTACCAGCTGCTCTCATACTGTCCTGCTCATTCTTGTTTTGTGGTATTCTGATGTATGTATGTTGTACTTTGATCAAATTCACCACCTCTGTTGCTTTTTGTTATTCTCCATCCTTTTACCCTTCTTTTATAGTTTTTAGTAGACTTTATTATGCTATTTTCATACATAGATATAATGTACTTTTATCATATTGAAGCTATCACCCGTCCCTCTCCCCCACCTTCTCCTCTTGGTTCCCCTACAGAAAGTCACACATTTACATTGGGGTGTGTGTGTGTGCCTGCTTATTTTGTTTAGCATGATGACGATCTCTGGTTCCATCCATTTTCCTGCAAACATAATTTCTGTCGTCTTAATGACAGAATAATACTCTATGGTGTATTATGTGTTTATGTACCTCATTTTATTAATCCATTCATCTGCCAATGGGCAGTTAGTCTGATTCATATAATTTGGCTATTGTGAATAGTGCCACAATAATGATGGCTGTGTAGGTATCTTTATTGTAACCTGATTTACATTCCTTCAGATATATGTTCATCAGTGGTACAGCAAGATCATATTGTAGTTCATTTGGTTTTTTGGAGAACCCCCATACTCATTTCCACAGCGGTTGCATTTTTTCCTGCATCCCTGCTAGCATTTCTTGGTTTTTTTTTTTTTATGATAGTGACTGGAGTGAAATGGAATCTCAATGTAGTTTTGACTTATGTTTACTTTATTGTTGGATGTTAAACATCTCTTCATGTATTTGTCATTTGTACTTCTTTCAAGAATTGTCTGTTCAATTCATATGAACATTTATTAATTGGATTATTAGTTCTTTGGGGGATTACTTTTTGAGTTCTTTATATATTCTGGTCATTAATCTCTTGTTCCACAAATAATTGGCAAATAATTTCTCACATTCTTCAATGCTATCTCTTCTTTCCAGTAATTGTTTCCTTTGATGTGTGGAATATTTTTAGTTTGATGCACTCTCTTTTGTCAATTCATGCTCTTTATCTCCTGAGCTATTGGAGTTCTATTCAGAAAGTTGTTGCCAGGAGGATCCAAAATGGCAACTAGGGTACAAATGCAGAAAGCCTAAGCTCTGTGACTCCAAAAACCTCTCTGAGACGTTGGAGCCACACTTGGGTAATTCTGACTGCTTCTAGCCAAAATTGCCATCACATTAGGTGCAGAAAAAAATTCAAAGACTGACCCTCAAATCAGCCTTTAATTGCGCCTAATAGCTGCGACCCATGGCACAGCCAGCAAGGTGGGTCCAGCCCCATGGAAACCCTCCTCCCTCATGGCGGTTTCTCTCTCTCTTTTTTTTTTTCCTTCTCTTCTCCTTCCTCCATCAAGTGGAAATAGAGCATCAACCAGAATCAAACTCTGTGACTTCCTGAATCCATAGCCTGTGTAAAGCCTCCCCATGCCACGCTGCACTGAGAAAAGGTGGCACCATTTCTCCCTGCCACTGCTGGCTCTA